ATAAATCTGACTTTGAATTTAAGTTAGTTTTATATTCTTTGCAAAAAAATGTATCTGGTATGTTTCAGAGGATTCACTTATCTCGATTTCAATGTTTTGTGTTATTTTTTCCGTTGAAAGGCAGTTTTTAGTCCACAGAAGTCAAACAACGCGTCTGTCTCAAGTCGGCGCCAAGAACGAAGTGATGTCGTTTTATTAAAATGCCACATGCTCTATGGTAGTGATGGTTCATTTTGCCGCCACTATCGAATTTTTCTAAACACTATCGATAGTTGTCTGTATGTTGTTCACATTGTTGGAATTGGACTATAAAAGATGCACATGCCTACATATACATATATGTATGTTGTGAACTCCTTGGTGTTTGTAAACATGTTCTTCATGGTTTTTTTATAAAATGTGTTATTGAAATACAAAAACGATCTCATTTTGTTTTACATAAGGTATTTTTGTGTAAACGAATAATCTTTATGGCTTTTGTAGTTACGAAATGGGTTATTTATGAATACGATTTCTTCCTGGCTGTTGTTGTCTTATATAGTAAAAGAAACGAAGAAATTTACAGGCGATGGAATCCGTCATATCACTTGCCAAATTTTCTAGGACCATAAAAAATGGATTCAAATGTCGTGCAGAGGTCATCAACGACTAAATTACCATTCGTATGAAAAAGTCATGAACGAGCCCAAAGTCATTGAAGCCTTAATATGGCCGTACAAGACACTTAAGTAACTTATGCATGAAATTCGCTACGGGGGAAAATTGAAAGAGGAAAATTGATTGCGTAACGGCCCGGTAACTAGCTATAGGTTTTCGGATGCTCTTTTAATAAAAGCTTAATAAAATTTATCAAAGAAAACTTAGTTATTTTTAAATTCAAAGACAAACCTTCTAAAGTAACTTAAGTTGTTTTGATAAAATGCCACAGATATCATAGAGGATGGGTTTGTTCGAGATGCAATCACAACCGCAGTGTTGCGCGAATTATTAAATTATCACGTTCTGTATGAATTTCTAGCAAAGTATTATTACTTGGGCAGTTGCAACAATGTTGCCATTTTTCATCAGTACGGCAGTAATGCCGCTTTTATTACGTGCCTCGAACAGGCCCTATCAAAAAGCATGTAGCAAGTGCATACAACAATCACACATCACACATTCACACACGCATATACAGGGTGGCGACGAATAACTATTACCCAGGTGTTTTTTTTAATAAAAGCACTTTATAGTTAATTTTAATAAAATTAATTAATTAATAAAATTTAAGTAATATCTGTGGTAAATTTATAATAAAATACTTTTCTATTTTTGAAAAAAATTTGCCGCCACGCTGTAAATCTGCAAATGCCTATATATACATATGTATGCATGTATGTAAGTACAATATTCGACTTCAATTATGGTTGTCGATGTAATTTTTGCAGAAAAGTAGCCACCGTAAGTCGTAAGTCCCTCGTACGCTGACCGCAGTACATATTTTTGCGAGGATCACCTTTTCTCAAGGGCTATTTTTTGATGGAAAAATTACATCGACGTGGATGTCGACAACCATAATAGCGCCGATTATTACTATTTTTAACTTCTCCAAAATCTCACCCAAATTCAACGTAGGAATGGCATTCCTTTTTAACATTTTTGACCCCATTGCGTCTCTTTCAAAATGAATGGATCATACAAAACAATTGGACGGCGCCGGCAAGTTATCTGTTGGCAAGATGTTGAGGTTCTCCCTCCACTTTCTTGCCATTTCCCACTCCTGAGGAAAACAATACATGCGGAATGATGCATTCGTATTGTTGCATCCACGCGCTTTGCACTTTCTTACAGGATTTTTAACTTTTAAAAATTTAAGCTTTGCTTAAAACCACCAATTTCGACTTTTCACGATGTCAGAGAAAATTTTATAAGAAATGTCATTTTTCCCTCCTTTTCTTTTTTTTTCAATTCTGGCGCAATTTTTACCTTTTAGATTAGAAAAGTATAATTTATATGCATACCTTTAGATTTTAACATCTTTTCTGCACGATACTGTTGACAACATTTTTCCTGCACACCACTCTGTAAAGTAGCTACACCAACCCCGCCCAGATCGATTGATATCTCAGTCGTCGTCGTCAAGTTCCACTAACGGCAGCCCTAGGAAGCGTGCGGTTCTACGTACCGGAATGACTCGGGTTTTACCCGACCAAGGGCTGTTGTTTCGGCGATCTAACCCCGTTTAGGTCGGCGAAGTATCTTAGAAGTTGCTCGTCCATAGGGCTACATTGCTACGTATTCTTCTACTCAGGGCTGGCATCGAGTCGTACGTGGCCCCCTGCTGCTCAAACAGAGCAGCCTCCACGGCTAACCTCAGTCCACCTGAGCAGCCTCACCCAGTCACCACAGCACAACAACATTTGAAATGTTAAATAACCGCGGTGAAAACCCATCGTTGAAACGTTTCAGACTTTCGTTTTTACGATACAAAAATATTCACAACCCTTACAGGTTGCCAGGTAGTCGCTTTTGCTACGAACACATAAAAGCAAATGAATACAATGGAAGCGGTAAGATGTTTTTATAGAAAACCAAATTTTTTTCCGTGTGTTTATTTTATAACATATCTCACACTACTGAGGTTTCCGCAATGGTTGCCTCTACGGTTGCCCTGTGTTTATTGAACATGATAAANTACAATGGAAGCGGTAAGATGTTTTTATAGAAAACCAAATTTTTTTCCGTGTGTTTATTTTATAACATATCTCACACTACTGAGGTTTCCGCAATGGTTGCCTCTACGGTTGCCCTGTGTTTATTGAACATGATAAACAGGTTGCCTCAACACGTTGCTTCAACGGTTGCCTTGTTTGTAGTCGGAATAAGGCTGAATATGGCTTACCATTTTCACACTATTGCTACACGGTAGTCCTTAAGTAAAAACGGCTGCAACCCTGTGCAAACTTCTGAGGCAATTTCATTCACCTGAATTAAGACACAAAGGTGCGAAATTAATTTGAGTGGAAAATACAGATTTCGTGGTATAATGGCGTTTATTGGCAATAAATATTTAACATTTGCCTTTTGCTTGTTTATTTGCTTCATATTGGTTGGTAATATCAATTCTGGGGTAGATGCAGCCGAAAAGGAGATACCCGCAACGAAATTTGGGCAAAATGTTGGTGGGCCTACCATGACATTTTTATACTGGTAATAAAGGTTAATTCTTTAACCTCATGCAATATTAGTTCTTTATTTAGATTAATATTAGAAAAGAAAAATACTTATTTTTTCAATTAGTTACTCGTGCGGCTACCGTAAGGCTTTCGAGGATTATGTGAACATACTATCCGAAAGGTATCCACAGATTACTGTCAACGGTGCCAACTATGATCCACCCGGCTTCAATATGTATCTGTCACGCATTGTTTTTGCTGCTAAGATACTGTTCATTGTAGTTATTGTCTCGTCGTTTGATATATTTGGAACAATTGGCCAGCAGACACCTGGTTGGTGGCGACATTTGTTGGAAAATAAATTGTACGCTTGTATGATGGTATTCTTCGTGGGAAACATGCTTGAAGGACAGGTAAGTTTGTACAAAAGTAATATGGCAATATGGGTGTTATCGGTTACCGAATCATTTTTTGATAAGACGACGTTAATACCAGTAATTTTGTCTAGCCTTGGAGCCGTCCTTACTTTTCAAATCATGTTCATGTTTAGTTTTTTATGAAAGCACAACTATGCGTACAAAGTGGGTAGTATTTTAAAAATAATGTTACAAGTATATACATAACGGCATAAGGATTGATGAATCTATAAAAAAATTGGGAAACCCAACTGCCGAGGACGATTCCAAGACAAGTTTTTAGGGGAAATATGTTTTTTATATAGATGAGTTTAAATGAACTGAAATATCTTACTTGCAGCTCGTCGCTTCTGGCGCTTTTGAAATAACACTTAACGATGTGCCGGTGTGGTCAAAATTGCAAACTGGGCGCATACCAGCGCCTCAGGAACTCTTTCAGATAATCGACAACCAACTGCAATTCACAGAAACTATTCAAGAGAATCCAGACTTTGTTAAATAATAATTAAGATGGACACTTACGCCACATACAAAATTAGCCAAACTATAGGAATTGCTACGTTGTCCAAGAACAATTTTGTGTATGTTTAATAGTCTTATATCTACATATGTGTGTTGAGAAGTTCGATTGAAACATGGCGCTACTCACATTGCACAGTCAATAGATTTAGGCTGTTGCTGGTGAAATATGGGGTGGTGGGGGATATTTAAGTACTATGTATGAATATGTGAATGTTCTGAAGCATAAGCGCAACTACTTGATTTAGTAATTTAACTTTATACGTATGTTTTGTTTTTTCCTTTTCTTGCAGTCTGTTTGTGATTGTCCTAAGCGAAATTTTGTTAAAAAACAGCTGAAATGTCAACAAGATTTATAAACATTTAAATAAATATAAAAAGTAGTTAATAAATCAGTAAGTCTACATATATACATATTTATACAAATATCGCTAGCTTAGAGTGCAAAGTTGCTAAGTCCAGTGGCTGTCTTAAAAGTTTAAATGCAAAGCATCAGCCTCTTGTAGTTCTGAACCATAGGAGAAAAACTCTCCAAATATCTTCTTGGTTGCGCATATTGGATTTTGATTTAAGTAATGATTAAAAATGAGAACACAGCCAGTTTTTTTATTACAAGCTTTTTTTTTGCTCACCTGGTTTTGCTGGGAAGATATTTGGTAAACCAATAGTTATAGACCGATTTCGTTCATATTTAGAAAGCTTGTTTTAAAAATACAAAATTTTGACTATTATCCATGATACAAAAATATTTGTATCATGCTATTAACTTATTTAGTTATACATTCAAACTTATTTTTTCAAGCACCTATTTTGGATGAAGGCCAAACGAATATTTCGCTTATTCATATATTCAAAGCTGAACCAACTCCAAACGACTCAAATTCCATTTTTATTTTTAATATTTGTTATTGAGCTTTGTACCACGATTGTTTATTAGGAAAAATTGAAAAAGCAACAAAGTCTAAGCGGTAGAAGTTATAGCACTATCACCACATCTCCTCATCAGACTTCTTTTTTCTAGACTTCAGCAGCAATAAAAAATATTAAAAATAAAAATGTTAACAAGCCACAATAACATTGACAAATACATAGTTTAGGAAGAGCCTGCCTGAAACTATACAAAAAAGCAAATAAGCAAATGGATGTATAGAATTGACAACAACAACCACGCTGTCGAGTTTAAATAGCGGCAAATCAGCTGCACTTGATAGTAGTTGGTTGAATAAGGAAAANCATTCTTTGGGCCTTATCACATTTTCTGTGGCTATTTTGGACCTGGCGAATTTGCATATCACTGACCACATACGATTAGAACTAATACAAGTAGTTTCCACATTTTCGGAAACGATGCATTTATAATTATTCTAGCTTCTTGCACCAAAATATATTTTTTTTTGGAAAAAATGGACTTGGACAACTTTTCACTCTAAGCTAGATATGAATCTAAAATTAAAATTTGGTGGTTTTAGTTCCTTCTAGCTTTGGCAATCTTCATATTCTGTGCACACTTGCTGGTAATGGCGACGACAAAGCAGGGACTCCGGGCGTTTCCCGATCAAGGACTGCTGCGCTAACATTACGAAACTGGGGGGCCTGGGTTGCTCTTTAGCAAACCTCGCTACTCAGGTGATCCCGGCGATCCTAGTATCTTGGGGATCTCAACAATGCCGTCATCAGAGTTCAATCACCTGGCATTGCAGACGAAGAGCTTCAGCTGCATCGAGAAACCCGCCTAACTCTGGCACAATTAAGGCCGTTTGAACTCTTACTAATTCAGACTCTACCACAAAGATATTGAATGTACATACAAATACATATTAAACCCCCTCAGCTAACACCCTTCTCTCTCTGGTCTGATCCCGTTATGCAGCGCGTAGTCTGGGCCTAATTGAACTTGGCATCAACGGTTGCTAGACTACCCGATTTAGGCAGAGATCAGAAGGGCCGCTACAACAACAACAAACGTCCGGGCGTCACAGACTATAGTAAAGGAGAAGGTAGGATCCACCGGCCACAACGACGCATTTAGCATTCCCACGACAGCCGGTTCTACGTACCGGAATGACTCGGGTTTC